ACCAGGGCCCGGGCCTGCGGCGAGGAGGGCGCCCAGGGCACAGCGGGGCGGGAGACGGAATCGCGTGCGGCGACTTCCGGAACCTCTGCCGGCGCGGAGCGCGTGGCGGCAGCCATGGTGCCCCCCGGGGCCCGGACGCCATCCGCCCCGCATGGGGAATCTGAAAAAAACCATTACGCGCGGGAAAGTCCGCGGCCGCGCGAGATGACGCGGGTGTGCTCGGGCTAGGACACCGCCTGTGTCTTTCTTGGTACATGGCATGTCAGCTTCGAGCATTATTTTTAGCAAAAAACACTCCAATCTGTTCTTTTTGTGGTTGACAAAGGTCAATCTGCTACCGTTGTGTGAAGAAAAACATTTTCAAAAAAGCGCCCCTTTGCCTCGCTCCAGGAAGTGTTTGGGTTAAGCTTCTTGATTTCCTTTTTCAAAAAACCTGATAAACACCAATTTTTTTTTCCTCCGTGTGCGTTTTATTAGCGTGAAATGACAAGAACAGCCGCGCTCGTGTTCGCAGGAATCAGAGGCTCTCGTCACCGCGGCGCAGCGAGACACAGGCGGCGGCCCGGTTCTGGAGAGCCCGCTAGCCGGAGGAAGGGACCTGCGGCGAGCCGTGAAAGCTGGCTGTAGAGATCTCCCACCACAGCCCCCCGGCGACTGACCGCAGGCCCTCGCGCGCCGCAGCCGGGCCTGGTTCTGCCAGCCCTGCGTGACCCCGATCACACGGCCGCGTCAGGTGCTCAGCAGAGCCGACTCGCCTTGCGGGACAGCGGGTTAGAAAGGAGAGAGGGCCGGTCAGTCTGCGCAGGTCGATCGCTTGGCCAGGAGCAGGGACGATCTCCCGCCTCCACAGGCGCAGTGCAAGCCCTAGCGAAGAGAAGCACACAGCCTTCACAGCTGAGGAGGGACAGGGAGGGGTGCACTCGCCCCCCCGCACGCCTGCATGAAGACAAAGATGCAGCGCAGGACTCTACTCGCTCGTCCCTGTGGCACACCTGCACTGTATGGCGTGATCTTGAAGTACCGGACTGGGTCTCCGTCTCTGTCCCGGGCTGTGTCCAGTAGGACACCAGTCTGCGGAGAGTTTGGGGTGAGCGTGCAGGGCCCTGCGCCTCACATCACTGGCGATGCGTTAGTTCACCCAGCTTTCTCCCAGTTAGGAAATGTCAGCTTGTGAGCTGAGGACTTTCTGACAGTAGTTCATCACACACAAGATCTTTTTTCAGTCTTTGTCATCGACATTTCGAGTCTCTGGGCTTTTTACTCCATTGTGGCTATTTTACGCGGTGAGAGGTTCGTATCTGATCTACAGCAGGGTGTGTCACAAAAACCCTAAAGATCTAGACGGGCATTTCAAGCATGTGTTGAAATATTGGGCTTTGGGGAAATCCCTGGTTAAATATTTAGGGATAAGGAGAAATTGTACTATATCTACAAGTAACCCCCTCTGAAAAACAGATTGGCCACCATCTGGAAAAGCTCCATTTTGAAGAAGCGATCGTTCTGCTGCGTTCAGCCCTTACTGGCTTCACACTTGCTGTAGATCAGACTCTGAGAACTACCCACCTCATCGAGCAGGAACTAAGTCACATTTTCATTCGAGTAGAAATGGACGTCTTGGCACGTCATTGTGATCCAGTAGTAGCTGCAATGGAATTAGGATAACCACCAGAACCAGTCGCGTTACTGACACAGCTCCAACCATCACACAAACGGACCTAGTTTTTCATGTTATTACAAATTATTCTGTGGCGATGCCATTGACCCACGAGGCTTGATACTTGACTTACAGTAATTACCTTTAAGTGAATGCATAGACAACCGTTAGTCACTTCTAAATAAAGACATACAGGTCGTTTCGGTGAAACAGAAAACAGGAAAAGGAGAATTTTACTTGTGTTCATGTGTAAGTGCACATGTCCACTGTTCATGCTGTCTCAGCACACACACACACACTTGCAGACACAGAAATACAGATTCATATCTGCTGTATATAAGCAGATACCTACAGTACATGTGCGACGTGCCCACACTAGACTCTTCAAAGCGAATTCCCTGGCCGGTTTTCAGCTCTGAAGCCGAGCTGTACAGAAATCGCAACAAGAGTTTTAATCTTTATTTTACAGCGATGACCCTGTATAGCCAGTCTGTTCTACACGAACCGGTTCATTAACGCCAGCGCGACAAGACTCTTGGCGAGGCCCGAGGTGGGGAGAGCGGTTTGAAAAGCAGTTGCTCGGGGTGAACTAGACACGCTTCGACACGGAGGCGCCGCCGGCCAGCGCCGGGGCCGCACGGCGGTGCTCTACCGCACTAACCTTTTCGGAGTCCGTGATGCAGCGCTGGGGACTTTTCCCGGTGAAATCACCAGCTCTTGTAGTACAGTAAGATACAGTGTGGCCTTTCGAAGGTACACACCAAAAAAAGAAACTGTGGTATCTTTGGTATCAGTTAGTCAAAACAAACGGAAGGCTTTGTAAAAACAGTAGAAGAAAAAAACACAAAACCAACTATTTATAACCGTCTCGCCCTTACCCCCGGTCTCAGATGACTGGGTGTACCGGACAGAATTGTACCGGATCAGAAAGGGACTCCGCGCTCATGCGGGGGCCGGTGCCAGGCGGTGTCGGGCGGCCCTGCCGGTCCACACAGCTGCCCCCCCACCGGCCCGACCGCCTGCGTCAGGCCCTGCACCGCGTGCCAGGCCCACCGGCCTGTCCGCGTCTCGCGCCGCGGCGCCACTCGAGCCCTGCTGCAGTTCGCTGTCGAGGCCCCGCGTGCGATAGCGCTCCCTTTAGCTGCTGTGGGGGGGCTGTGGGGTGTCTCTGGGCGGGAGGGGGGTGAGAGAGCGGGATGGCCACCTCGGCCTCCTGCCTCTCCTGAACGATGGAGCGCGAGGGGGGTGCGGCATCGGGGCACGCGCATGGGAGCCCCCCACGGGGCCGCCGAGCTCGAGGGGCGGCTGTGGGGCTCCCGCCGGGGTACCCCGGTTCCCTCGGGAGGGCGCGTCTGACAGAGCAGGACGCTTGGCGGGAGAGGACGGCTAGGGGACTTAACTCCAGATCAGCAGGCATGAAAAGTCAAGACCGACGATGATTCAGGTACAACAGAGGGTGAATCACTGAAGATTGAAATTGATTAACGTCAGGTGCCTAATTCACCGATATTCGCTGCAGTTTTTTTCTCTCTTGCTAATCGTGCCGTTTCATGTAACACCCTTTGGCAGTATATGATTCACTCTTGTTTCGAGAGAAAAGGTGCAACACTCACAAAAAAAGACTTCCCAAAAGTCAAAAGAAAGACTTTAAAGACTTTTGCAGTTGCATTACAGGTCGAGCAACGCCCGCTCGTGCGTCTTCTCGGATGCAGACGGCGGATCACGCGCCGGTCGTCTCGGCCGCCGAACCCCGACCGGCGCGCGGCACGGAAAACACACACAAACCCAAACTGGGCGGAGAGCAGGGCTTCGTGTCTTTTTTCTTCATTTCAAATAAAATCATTTTATTTGTCCAACAAATTAAAAGCCCAATGTTTGCTTCGCGTCTCTTACTCGTGACAAACTGACGCTCACGGGGCACATTTAACAACTGTGCTTTAAAAGTAAATTTCAGAAAGATGCAAACATCTGCAAATATTACAACCGATCGTATGCTCCCCACGGGAACACTGCATATCCGGAGAGGAGTACACGTCTGAATTAAATTGAACCTTATCCTGTTAATCATTTTATTTTTTAAAAACTGTTGAAAATGCTGCAATATACGTTTTTAGAAATATCTCTATTTGGGACAGTGAAGTTTAATATAAGAGATGGCGCACTCCAGTCTGTTGCTCCAGAGCAGAAGGCCGTAAAAGCCAGCGCTACTGAGCTGGTTGCATGATCAAACTCTCCCCCTCACTCCGCTCTCCCTCCTCCTGTCGGCGCGACAGGATGCGTTTCCCCTTGCTCGGCTGGTACAGCCCCTGTTCCCTCGCCACTCTCTTCTCACGACTTGTTTCTCTCAAACGTTAAAAAACCCTTCTTAAGCAGAAACTCCTCTTCCAGACAGCGCCTGGTAGCGCAGTCTGCAGCCTCGCTCCGGCTGCGTCAATAAAACACGCGCCGGCAAGATTCTCGCCAACCTCCTCACGCGTGGAAAACTATCACAGAAATCGCCCTGTCCGAGTGATCCCGTGGACGCGTCTGTGGGAAACGTTCGGAAGAATTTGAAAATCAATTCTTTTTTCCCCCAAGGAATAAAAATGAGCAATTTTTATTCCACAGATATTTTGTGCGTGGAAATTTACAAAAACGCAAGTGTGTCACTTGCGCGTGGAAGGTAATTTCACAAGGGTGTAACACCGTCCCGAGACGCTTCCACGCCTGGTTCAACTACCGTTTGAGAAATGCAACGTCACTGGCCGATGTCATACACAGGCCAGAAAGACTTTCTTCACTGACCAACTTCAGCTCCATCACTGACCGTCCATAACAGAAACTGCGCACTTGATAGTGCTGAGCGCCTCAAGACAAGCGAGAAGCGGGAACACGTGCTATGCTCTTCGACGTGTAAAAGAACAGTTGATGTCTTCCACGTGATTAAGAGCTGAACTTTTTTAGATCACCTTGATGAATGCCAAGAAACTCATTTTCCTAACTGACGTGTTTGCATATCAGTCATAAACCTGCAAGTACTGAGAGCATGCTGCAGCTAATGACTCTGAACAACCACGCGCACAGACCCAGTCTAGCCACACAGCTGTCACCAGTCCATACTGTGTATTCACAGCGCTCCGCTTAAAAACACTCTGACAATTGGGTGTGATTGCCTCTGTGATTGCCTCTGAGAAGCAGCAAGAACGGTTCTGCTGACAGAATTAATTACCGATCAACACTGCTGCTGCAAAGAGATTAGAAGCAGTCAAGCTTCAACACTCAGAACCTCCACCAGTGTTTTCTGCTGTTAGAACAAACGGGCCTGTTTATTCATACAGACAAGTCTGGGCGAGGAGAATCTGAGCTTGTCGTTTCATTTAATTTGTATTAATAATATCTTCAAAAGCCTGATCACAACATCAAGATCAATTATACTGTACATGAGTAGACAATATGAAGAGTCGGAATAGCTAATCCATCACATTTACCAATCAATCACTGACTTGTTCAAGACAAGGAGCACAAGACTCTCTGTTTACCTCTGTATAAATGCATAAAGGCAAAAGGCTGCTTTTACATGCAAATGGATTTCAAAACAGATCTATTATGAGTAAGTAAGCTAAAGACAAAATGACTACATTTTCAGCAGAAGATAACCACAGAATAAGATTTCTGCATGAAGAAGAAATACTATGATACTGGTGATGAAAGCCTAAATCAACTTTTCATACGACTGATTTACCATTAACTAACTGCAATTAACTTTTGTTACGTTTCAGATGTCTATTTTAAGACGTCAGCCTTCTTATTAAACACAGACGCGCTGATTGGTGCTCAAATATAATTACATATTTACTTAATACAGTACATACTGTATACTTTATACTGTACATTAGGAATTATATCAAGGATAAGACCTACTGTAGCTGATTAAATCAGACTCTAAAAATCAGCACCACTGCCCAGAAAGGGGTTTACGCAGCAGCTACTAGAGTCCCTGCCCTGAAAGGCATATCATACACAGACAGCACCAGTCCATCACAGGACACACACACTCACACACCCTGGACAGG